GCCAGTGCCCAGGAAAACATCACAGTGAGAGGAGCAGAGCAGATACTGGCAGTGGCAGGGTGGCAGCCTCACTCTGCAATATTCAGATGCAGAGGTCAGGAGCTTTAACACCATTCTGCACAGGAGTGTCTGTGCTAGACTCCTCCAGCATTAACAATTAAGGAATCAGCTTGGATTGCACAATGTAATTAAGCCTTTGACTTCTGAGGTCCATCCAAGAGGAAAAGCAGGAGGTGGCTGCACCTACAACGGACCTTGGACACCTACAAATGTCAGCCTGAACATAAAGCAGTGCTCCAGGACCCATGGGCCACCCCCAGGCAGGTAAGTCCTGTCCTGCTCTTGACAATGATCTCTTGGAGCTGCCTTCATCTGTGCTGGCCACTGGACACACAAAGAGACAACTCTGCCTTGCAGGGCTTAGGATGGACAGCCAGCCTGCAGAAGGTCACAGATGTTTCTGATGATTTGCTGTGGTCATGAAAAGATTCACATGAGGCCTTTGAAATAGGAGTAGACATGGCTACTCTGTGAGTCAACTGAAAAAGTTAAACTTACTCTACAAGGTGGATGGGCTGAAAGTGTTTTTAAACCTTCAGAAGACAATGTGACCTGTGTTCTGCATGAGGCCCTCAGAAGTGAAGCTATGTGTAAAGTAAAAGTAAAGCTATGTGCAAGGTTAAAGCAGTTGGTTTAACTCAGATCTTGTAATCTTCCCTGGTTTGCTGCACTGCCACCATTTCTGTCATGTACACAATGGCAATTTCTGAATTGATGGCCAGATGGTCCAGGGAACTCTATTTGCACAGCTTTCTTTGAAATGACCTCACACTCAAGGGAAGTTTCAGCAGTCATGATCCTCCAGCTTGACTTGAACCACAGAAATACTCATGTCATATTTCTCCCTTGGAGAAGTTACTGTCTCGGGCCTTACACTAATGAAAAAAATTACAAACATGCACTGGTGAAGTATTTATTGTAGGGACAAACAGTCCAACCTCAGTGGTCTGTGCTGCAGGCTGTTTGCACTGTTGTTTTCACAAGTCCCTGAAAGCAGAGGATGAAAACCTTCAGCTCAGATTTGATTCTGACTTCCTGTTTTATCAAGTAGAAAACCAAACACTCAAGTCTCCCAGAGCCACAGCAGAAGTTACAGTCTTTTTATTTACAGAGCTATGATTTTTTTTAATTTTTTTTTTTTCAGACTTAGCAAATGTTTTAAGACTGTGTCATTTGTCTCTGGTTCTTTGCTCAAGGAGACTCGGACTTGTTTTTTTATGAGCTGCTTGGATGTTTTTAAGCTTGAGTTCTACAGTCAGCTCTGCTCTCAGGCTTCAGGGGCTCTTCCCTCTCCCTTTCCACTTCCTGCAAGTTGTGTAAAAGGGAGGAAGGCTGGGTGGCACCGTGATGGAATGTGGGAATGTGGGGGTTAAGGCCAGACACCGTCCTAGCACTGCTCCCAGTTGTCAGGGGTCTTTGCTGCTGGCTCACATTCTCAGGAGAGCTGTAAATGGTGTGCAGCAGTGTGTGTAAGAGCACAGGTAACAGCCTGGGTGCTGTGGTGCTTACAGACACACAGGCAGATGTGTGCTCAGTGCCTTTTCACCTCTGTTACTTTGTGCTTTTCCTCTGTTGCTGAAACCTATTCCCAAATCTGTGAAAAGTAAAACTCTGAATTAGGCCAAAGGTCCATATAGCCGAGTGTCCTGGCATGACAGTGACTAGTAAGCATCAGTTTCATAGGGAAGGGTGAGAGGAGAAAGCTTTGTATGAATTACATGGAATACATTGTGATTCAACCCTGGATTGCACTTTGATCCTTTGCTCAGAGACTCCTCCTCAGCACTGTCAGTGATGGAGTTAAACAGCACTTGACAGATTTTTGCTTCCCTGCAGACAGATGGACAGTTTAGTCAATGATTGATAATAAATCTGTGGTACCTTTCTCAAATAAAGTCCAATAAATCCATCCCTTTCCTTCCCTGAAAGGCAAGGGAGAAAGGACAAAGCTGTAGAATTCTTCCTAGTGCCTTTTTGGAGGTTTTGTTCCTTCCCTTAGTTCTTCTAGGTGGTGTTTTGCATCCTCTTTGCTAAGCCAATGTGATGCACAGGGAAACAGCCTTCAAGCCTTTGAGGGCTGGGAATGTGGCAGCTGAACTTTAATTTCCTGGAGCTAATTGCAATGATAAAGCTCACAAGCAGCTGCTTCTCATTTGTAGTTGTGTGTAGCTCCAGGAATGACTGCAGAGATATCTGAACATGAGATGACATTTAGCACAGCAGAGAGCTTGTGAGATTTGAAATGGCAGGTGGGAAAAAAATAGTTAAAAGTCCAGAAGGGTGGTTGCTATGGAAGCTAGGAAAGATGATGTCAGCAAAATAACATCATGAAGAATTTTACAGATCACAGAATTTTCCTTAATGGGAGCTCAGACTGATGAGCAAAGGGAAGAAAATTCCAGAATCAAGTGAAAAGAAGTGAAAGGAAGGACCAGTATTATCGATTCCAAGGCATAACTGATAGAGCTTTCCAGAATGGAATGTTTGTGCTTTACTGTTTGAGCCTTTGAGGCACAGACTCTGGCATGTAGAAGCAATATATTCAACAAAGAATGTAAGTACACATGAATAATTGGCATACAGTTGACATCTCTGGCTGTAGGAGGAGCCACTGTGTCTGGAAGGTTGTGCTCTAGGTGTAGTAAAATAGAAAAGATTAATAGCCTGTCTCACAACAGATTACTGAGATGGAATAAACCTTATTTATACATATCAGATCAGTTATCACACCACATCTAATGGCAAAGCTCTTCTGAACCCCACAGGCTATTCTGGGCTTGGAATGCAGTTTCTTTTTTTTTTTTTTTTTTTGTCATGCAGAAAAAAGCAAAATCCTTGGCAGAGCCAACTCCAAAGTCAGGTTTGGGTGTGGGTTGTCTCTGATGTCCTGAGGATTCACAGACCACCCTGGCTTAGTGAATGGATTGGCTCAGCAGAGTCCAGGCTCCCAGCACTGTGGGAAGCCTTGACCTCCCACCAGGCTTTCTCAGAAACCAGTGGAAATCTGGGCACTAAAGGTGAGAAACCATTTGATAAAGAGAAAAGACCTGTTACCTGTTTATGCACAAGCATAAACCCCTGGGGGAATGTTAAAACTTTCTGTTGCCTGATAATTAGTCAGTGTGCAAATTAAATACATAATTTACATAAAATACAACTGGCAAACAAGCACCACTTTAGGTCAGGCTGTCTCCTCCACTCTTGTTTTGTCAGAACAAGATCCTATTTCTTGTCCTTCCCACTGTTTCTGTGTCCAGGTATAGACACACACATTTAGAGGGCTAGGGAATTTCTCCTAACTCTCAAGTCCATTCCCAAGCTAATAAACTAACTATAGCTTCAGTTAGGAAAAAAGTCTCCCAAGGTGATAATACAGTGAAAAACAAAATGAAATTCATAATAAAAATTAACACCTGGTGATTTTCCCCTGAGACACATCCTGAAATATGATCCCATAGATGTTTTTCCCAGTTGTCCAATCAGCTACTGTCCTGTCTAGCTGCACATAATATGCTTTAAATATGAACTGTCCATTCAATAAAGCAGCCTTTTTTCCCTAAAAAGGCCCATGGATATGACTATCCTTTCTTTCTCTCTCTTTTTTAACACAATAACCCCATCCAGTCTGCACTTGTAGCATCCCTGGCTGCTGCAGGTGCTTCCATCAGCTCACCAGGCTCCAGTGTCCCTCCAGGGGCTCCACAAAGGGTGGAAGGAAAATCCCAGGAGGATTCCTGACCTTCAAGTTCCCAGAGGACAGTCAGCTATTCCTAACTGACTAACATGTGAATTTTGAAGATTGCTGCTGTCTTCTAGAAATATTTAGAAATTAGAAGTTTGTAATGATTCTGTAAAATAAATAATGTTGTATTCTTGCTGTTATCTACTTAGAAAGGCACTTTCTGAAGGAATCCATGTGATGGTTGTTTTTGTCTGGATGAGACCTCAGGCCAACAGGGCCTGGTTATATAACAAGAGTTGATTTTTATAAACTTGAAAGAGGCAAAAACCCCAAACACTTAACAGAGAGGAGAAAATGCAGCTAGAGGGACTGCTGTTCAAAACACAGAAAACTGGTTTCTTGCCCATCTTTAAAATGCAATTAAAAAGTAAACTATTTCACTGAGATGCCATAAAATCTCACCATTTCAATGTTTTTAACACCTAAATAGAACACATTCTAAATCACTTCAATCTCTGCCTTAAACAATGGCTCTAGAAGAAATCAGGCTGTTTTAAATTGACGAAGACACAATGTGAGCACGTGGTGTTTCCAGTGACTGCTAAAGAAATCCATCGTAATAAAATACTATATGAGCAGAATTCACATCCTAGTAAAAAGTCTTTAAAAACTGCAGATATATTATTTTAAAATGGATCAAACATTTACAGTTTATTAATGTTTTGCTGAAATATACAACTTTGTATTGATTAAATAGGTTAACACAGATAAAACTGTAAAAGAAATACTTTTTAGAAGTGCCAGAAACACGTTCTTGAACTAATGCTAGTCAATTAATTGATCTGTTCTTTGCAATAAGAGTATAAATGGCACAGGTTGCATGGCTTTGTAGTTGTTGTAGGCTGATAAATAATCATAAAAGCATTGGTAAGTTCTATAAGCTAGACCAAACAAACTTGATTGCATTTCACAGGTCTCTGGATGAGTTTGGGTGTGAGAAATGAAACTTCACCATGGCTCTTGTTAAATGGAGGAAAAGGAGCTCACAATACTCTCTTGGTGCTGTCACAATGCCATGTCTTTATCCATTTTGGGTGCCCTGGGAGGAAGGTGGAGGCAGCCCTTACCACTGAGCTGTTCTGTCATTAAGGACACGTGTAGGGCAAACCAGAAGTCACAGTGGCTTGTGTAAAAAAAAAAAAACAAAACAAACAGAAACACCCCCACTACCACCACCAAAAATTGTATCAGATCATTTCATTTGGGCATATTCCATGAAAGTAGTTTGGGTTTTCATTTCATAATGACATTTCCAGCACTAAACTTTAAGTGGAGGTGCTCAAAAACGCAAGCAAAAGCTTGGTTCTTCCCAAGTTTATTTTTTGGGTTTTATGTAAATATATGTTTGGTCTGGTTTGTTCTAAAGTTGGGGTGGTTTTCTTGAGATGGGGTGTGATTTCAGTCTGTGAAGGAAGGAGTCTTCCACACAAATTTCTCTATTTATGAACCACTCCTATGAAAGAGAAAAACCAAGGACTTCTCATGACATGACATGACTCAAAGCCAGTCGTGTATGGATGAAGCTGACAAAGTGTGTGTCCAGAGCCTGCTTATTCCAGAGTTCATCCTGCTTCCTTGTGCACATCACAAAAGGCAAAATGTCAGCTCAAAGCAAAGATGCTCCATCCAGAAGAGCTCTTCTCCCCAGGCACACAGGTCAGCAGTATCCACATAAATAATGTTTTTCTCAGATGGAGAAAACTGGAACACCTGGGACATCAACTGCTCGTCCTTGCACTGCACATCCCAGAGCTCTGGACAGCCTGGAGTGAGAGACCTTCCCCAAGCCTGGCTGGTGGCAGGTGCTGTCCCAGGGCACGGCTTCCTAAATTTCACTTTCCTCAAAGACTTCCTCGGTGGTCTCTGCTGTGGTCACCTCTCCCTCGCTGCTGTCGGACATGCTCATCTGGGGCAGCCCTGGGCTGGCCTCTGTCCTCCCCAGCCCCTGCTGCAGCTGCACGTCCCAGGGCTTGCTCACCTCCAGGCAGAAGTGGTGCTTGCTGCTGAGGTGCTGTTTCTTCCTTTTCTGGGAACATTTCCTGAGGTATTTTATGTTTTCCCCGAGAAAGCAGAGCTTGCAGCCAAAGGGATCTGCCAGAAGGAAACGGGACCACTGCTTCTGCAGCTCTGCTTTCACCTGAGGGGGGAGAAAATGGTCATTGCTAATGGCATGTGGCCATCCTGGAGTTCACTGCCACAAATGCTGCGTGTAAAATGAGAGGAGCTGCAAGTGCCATGCTTCCTGCCCCTTTGGGGTTACCTTGCACCTGCTGCTTGTAGGGCAGGGACAGATTTGTTTGCTAAATCAATCTGAAGAGGCCAACCTCTTCAGCCTGACTTGGGAAAGTTTTTCCTCTGCAAATCTGAGGTGTGAGAGCTCAGGTGACTCCCCTGTTCACAGTCTGCTGCAGAGAGGAGGAGGAAGAGGAGGAGGAGGAGGAGGAAGAGGAGGAAAGCCCCGGGGCTGTGGAAACGAGGATCATGCAGCTTTACCCAAGTGTTTTGCTGGTGTAGCTGGTTTCTTTTGTCAAAACATTTTTCTGGCAGCCTGATGGAAATCCTCAGCACTGAGTGTGCCCTGCCTGCAGAGCAGAGCAGAGCAGAGCAGGCTCCATCCCCTGTGGAGGAGCTGGGGCTTCCCCTGGCTCTGCCAGCAGCACTTGGGTCTGAGAGCTCAGCTGGACCAGGTGGTAGAAAGCCAAAAGAGCAACTCCAAACATCTGGTGAGAGCTGCTGGCAGTCCTGTGCCCTCTGCAAGTGTCAGACAAGCACTTCTCTAGTGCAGACAAGTGCCAGCTTTTATATTTTTCATATATTTGTAATCCTGTAATTCTTTAATATATTACTCTAAACTCCATATACAGTGCTAGCTACTGTCTTCACATTTTGGTCAGACAAAACAATTCCTCTCTAGGCCTGAAACTCCAGGACACCTGTCTGTCTCAGGACCTGAGAAATGTAAGCAGCAGTGAATTGGGGAGGGGAGAGAAAACTTGGAGTAAATTACTTCATTACCTGAAGCTGTAACTGGAGGATTAGCCCCTGATATGTAAATGAACAAAACTTATTTCTGTCTGAAACACTCATGACCACCATCCATTCTGGGTGTAGCCTCTGGGAGGCTGTGACTGCCCAAGGTGGATCTATTGAGGGCCTTTAATAAATCCTCACTTTATTCTCTAACTCTGCCTAGCCTCTGTTCTAGGTAGCCACTCCAAGGCACCACTCTATTTTATATAAGTAGTTCTGAAATTGCTGCATATTTCCTTGACAGATATTAGAAACATCTGGCCTAGCCTGTGTATAAAGCCCATCTGTTTGTTTCTCTGGTGACTTTAGGGAAGAGTCCAGGTCCCTATAGCTGTGTCTGTGTAGTGTGTCCCCTGCCGCTTGTCTGTGCTGAGCTTTTAGTGTCTGTTTATTCCAAGTAGTGGCAGTCTGCACCCGGGCTAAATGCAGGGGAGAACAGAGAGATTCAACTCAAAAAACATTTAAAATTAACTGAGATTGCAGCATTTTCCAGGGTAGCAAGTCAGGCTGAGAGGGCTGGGGTTGTTCAGCCTGGAGAAGAGAAAGCTCTGGGAAAATCTTAGTGCCCCTTCCAGTGCCTAAAGTGGACATAAAAAACCCTGCAGAGACACTTTTTGCATGTGCAAATAGTGATAGGAGTGGGGGGCATGGTTTTAAACTACAAGAAGACAGATTTGGATTACATGTTAGGGGGATACTCCTCCCTGTGAGGGTGGGCAGGGCTGGCACAGGGTGCCCAGAGCAGCTGTGGCTGCCCCTGGATCCCTGGCAGTGCCCAAGGCCAGGTTGGACACTGGGGCTGGGAGCAGCCTGGGACAGTGGGAGGTGTCCCTGCCATGGCAGGGGTGGGATGAGACTCTAAGGTCCCCTCCAGCCTAACCCAGTCTGTGATTTTATGAAATTATTTTTTCAACATGTTGCTGTCTAAGATAATGAAGAACTCCAAATGTGATCACTTCCCATAGAGCTCAGGAGTGAACTCAGAGAGGGTTCAGCCTGACTGACCAAAAGTCTGGGGTTTCAGCTGGTTAAAGGAGTGGGTTTCAGGTACCATAAACCTGTAATGGCATTTCAGACACCCCAGGCTATCCACACCTCCCCAGTGCTCACCACTCAGCCTTCAGTGCAAATATTTTGCATTTGAGTCCAAACCTGTGGTAGTTCTTGCTGTTCTCCTCACTCAAAACAATTTTACCAGCTCAAAAGAATGCATACATGCTCTCAACGAGCAGGGCTGCTCAGTGTGTTCATCCCTCCTGCTGTCATTAATATATTTACTAATGAACTACAAACTTCTCTCACAGCATTGTGTCTTACCTCTCCATTAGCAAAGCAGTAAAGAACTGCTACCAAAAATCCCTGTAAGAGAAAGGGAGTGAGAGGGAAAAGTCAGTGAACAGGAAATACCTGAAGATGTAATTTAAAGGTGACGTTAGTGTTAAAACCATAAATATAAACAGTGCTCCTTAATGCTCAAAAATGAAACTTGTTACCTGCATTTATTTACTAATGAAGTACCCAGTCACTTGTTTTTGTGCATTCCTTGGCAATGCAAAGCACATTTTGTGCAGATGCTGAAAAACAGATTATAAAATCTTCATTTTGCTGTCACATAATGTGGTTTTTTCTCCAAACTATTGCTGTTATACTGTGACTGCTGCTATTTCCAAATGTGGTAAAATAAAAAAATGCAGCTTGGTTTCTCATATTATCTGTATGCTTGTTTGGGTTTGTGAATGAGATCTCATTTGGGTTCTTCTTACAAATTATTTCTATATTAAGTGATTAGTGTTAGTTCAAAGTTCAGCTATATTGAGTGCTATGGCCATTTGTAATTGCTGATTTACCTCTGAAACTGATTTAGATAAACACCTTAAAAAATCCTACAGCTACAACTTGTTTTAAACCAACCCCAACATTATTGTTTCCGTTTGCCCCTCTCTGTCTGCATTTGATCTCAGGCTAAAGCAGCTCACAGGCTGCATCTCAGCCCCACAGAAATGCAGATTTATTCCCAGTGCTTCAGGAAATGCCCGGTTTTGGTGTGTCCAAAGGCATCTGTGACACAAGTTCTGATTAAGAGAATAAAAACTCTGAGTCCCAAGGCAATATTTATATCACAGCTACAAAGGTGCAGTTCAGTTGACTGCATTCAATTGTTCCCACACTTCTATTTTTCCAGAAATGTTTCTGCTTTGCTCAGATAAAAGTGTAAAAAGAAATTCATATACACAGAAGCTACAGCATTTTTCATTATACCTAGAAATAACCAATAGTGTTCTGAGCCTGCTGTTAATTTTCTAGCAGTCCTGAATTATTTAAAGTCATTAATTCCTTAAGCATATGTGCAGTTTATCTGCCAAACCAGTGGAAAAGGGGGCAGGAGAAATATCAAACACAATTGCTTTCTCCAGCTTTTTCTATCATTTTTCATGCTTCACCTGGGTTGTGGTAGGAAGATAGAGTTAATTAGAGTTAATAACAGGTGATATTAAGTACAAATGGTAATATAATAATTACATCACATAAATATATAGTCTCATCTAATATTTCAAATATTAAAATATATTAATTACAAATTTACTAGCTTAAAAAGCAACTTTTTATGCAGAACTTCTCCTGCTCCTGGAGGCATTTCTCTTTTTTTGGGGGGATAGAAAGTGCATGACTCTGCTGGGTGGTTTGGATTTGGTTGGTTTTTTTTTCCATGTGTGGCTTCATAGCACCACAAGCATAAACAGGATTTAAACTAAAGTCCTGAGCCTGGTGATTGCCACTGTGGGAAAGGCAGAGCCTGTGTGACCTCCCTGGGCTGGTTCAGTCTGTAAATATTTCCCTCTGCAGCACCAGAGCAGTAAAATCACACCAGAAGGTGAAGACTTCGCTGATTATTTCTGTTTGATGCTCACTTCATCTCCTGGTTTCTTTAATGCTTACTCATTTTTCTCCCAGTAAATTGGTTTTCACACTTAGAAACCATTCCAATGTGCTGTGACTTCTCAAACACACATTTTTCAGAATTATGCCAATGTGAGTAAAAAGGGAGAATCAGAAATTCAGAAGGAATGTTCATGAGCAGAAGAACCAATGGGAAAGGGCAGATGCACACATGAGCCTCCCAGTTGTTCTTCAGTTCTAATGACAACTGCAATGTGATAAATTATTCATCAAATAACTGATGGAACCAGTGTTTTTTCCTGAGGGTAACAATTTCCATGCACAAGGGAGCCAAGATGTTTAGATTCCTCCATTTCCTAAAGCAAATCATACCTATAACAGAACTCCTATTTAGAATTTAATTTTGTGCTCCTTGAAAATGTTTGAGTTAAACCTTCAGCTGAGATCCCAGGGATAATTGTTTTTCTTTAACAAAACAGTTTAACTGCCTTTTAAAACTACTGAGAAGATTTACAGACTAAACAAATGTAATTGGGTACAGTTTATGTGCTTTTTGGCTAATCCCTTCATAAATAATGCTGCAGCTAAAAAAGAAAATGTGCAATAAACATTGGCTAAGATCTCTGGGTATTTTTTAATGGAGTTTTGCTTCTAAAGCATGGCATGCTGCCAAGCACATGCACGTTTCTCTAAAAGGAATGGAGTTTGTGTTCTTTAGCAAGGATGAGTAAGCTGGTTTATATATCAGATTTCTTTCTACAAGCCAGTAAATAAAATCTTCACTTAAAATGATTCTGCACTTTTAAAATAACAACTAGGCACTGCAACTTCTCCAAGTAAGGATATGTCTAACCAAGGAACTTATTCTCCAACATTAAGGTCTCTTCCAACCCAAATAATGCTGTGATTTTGTGAACACCAAGTCAGCAGGCTCCTTGGGGCTGTGGCTTTCCAGGAATTCTCTACTGACACTCAGGACATTTTTTCCCCTCAAGCTGTGGTGGAAATTTTAAAGCATAGCCTCAATAATAGTGTCAAAGCACTGGTGCATACACACACCTGAGCACAGGTGCAGAAATGCAAAGGTTAAAAGCCAGGATCACCATAAATTGTGGGGAAAATGCAGCAATGCTCTGTAGCCCCATCCCTCAGGCTGCAGAAGAGAGCAGCAGTGTCAGAGCCCTGAATTACTGAGGAGCAGCCTCTTGGAGCCAGAGAGATTACTGGGGTTTGCAGCAAATAAAGATCTGGAAATGCTGTCAGGGTGTCCCAGGAAGATCAAGGCAGGAAGAGGTGGGTAAAGGACAACTTTGCTGAGCAGGTTTGATAGTACTACCTCAAAAATTCATGACTTAGCAGGGTGCAGAAGTCGGGGCAGAGGCAGGCAGCAGAGTTTTGTGCCATGCCCGGTTCTCTGGCTCAGTACAGGAGAGCTCACCCTGTGCAGGAGTGGCCACACCACTGAGCTCCAGCAACAACTCACTCTGGAACCTGGTAAATACAGGTCAAACCTTACAGTAAGAAAGGCCTTGTAAAAGTTGGTTCAGGCTTTGCTATTCTGGCTAAGCTAGCCTGGTAAATTCCCATGAGAATGGAATCTTGTCACAGGAAGAATCAGTTAGCACAACAATCTGTTCTTGTAAAAAGCCAATTTGCACCTGTGAAGAAGAGGATTCTACCCGTGAGAATCCGTGAAGAAAAAATGCAAACGTCTGTGTAAAGAGAGACTTGGCACCTCTGCACACAAACACCTTCTAATCAATGAATTGAGGAGCAAGAAAGTCACTAACCAAGAAGAATTAAACATGATGACTTTGAAAACTGTATAAAAATGGGCTGTAACATTAAAGTGGGGCTTTGAAAAGTGTGTGCCTCATTTCTATCTCTAACACGAGGTCACAGCAGCACTGTGTACTCAGAACTGGATATTTTATTTTATTTTATTTTATTTTATTTTATCCCGGGGTCTTGTAGCTGAGATCTGAGGGCAGAGCTGCCCCAGTCACACTCCCCTCCCTCACTTCAGGTTTTTCACTCTCCCCAAACTAAGGCAGGGGACTGAAGAGGAGCCAGGAGCCTGAAATCTGTAAAACACTCCTGACTGCATGGCTGACAAACTTTTCCACCTGCAGATGCTGATCCATTTTTCTGTTCCATCCATGTGAGGGCTCTGACAAATTCTCTCCTAAAACTAATTAAAAATTGATGCACATGTGCAGCACTTTTGTGAGTGTACACCTGGCAGTGTCACTCTGCAGATAAGGTGAACAAACATCCTTTAGGAAAATGGAGCCCAAACCTTGGATGAGGCAGACATTCTCATAGTTATGATTTTGGCTGGGAGTGTTTTAAATTTGAACCATTTGAATCCTGTTTTCAGGGGTCTGTGATGAACTATTACCTATTTCAAGAGGACACCTTTTTTTTCCTGAAAATGTCAGACTCCATTTTTGGTGTTTGGGACTATCATATTTGAGTATGCAGTTTGTGAGTGTTTTATCTTGTTACTGCAACAGTGTATTTAGAGACATTGTAGGCTGGGATAGAATATTAAATCAGAATTCACTATAACTGGTGAGCAGCAATGTCCATGGATCTGTGAACCCTAAAAACAATACTTGCAAAGCAGTACTTACATGAAATGAGCTCATTGTCAGCTGAATGAAAAGTCTTATATGCCTTGAAAGTCCTTCCACCTGTTCATCAGTGATGAAGGTAAATACAAATTCGTGGATCCCCAACAATGGAATCAGCACAAGTGTAGATCTTGCCAATCTTAAAGAGAAGATGTTTCATTATTGTATTTTGTAAACATCCTCTGTGCCAAAAAACCTCAAAGAAATTATTCCAGAACATGCCCTCGATATTCTGACTTTGGAATGGTAGTAGCAGTTTTTTGATTTTGAGAATAATGTATGCATCAATCTGTGGAAAGTCTAGTTAAAAGGCATGTGTAAATGAAATGTTTTCCATGGCACATCCTTGGCAGAATAAAGTAATGTCTGATTCTCTATCAGGCTACAAACACAGTGCTAGAGAGCTTTTCTTCCCAAATTTTGGTGACAAAGGGAAAAATGTGTCACAGCAGCAGAGGAGATGCCTGAGAGCAGAGATCTCACTGCACTGAAAAGCCTTTGTGAAAATGCCCCCAAAACTCAGCACAGAGGTGCTGAGCTGCCTTTGCCTCTCAGGCAGGGACATGTCTGTGGAGCTTGTTTTCCCATTCTGAATATCTATTCAGAATATTCAGAATATTCATAAAATCCATTCAGAATGTATCTATTTCCCATTTTCTGAATATCTATTACACCTGGTGGTGGTAGGTACATCTTTAGGGGAAGCTGACAAGTTTTTGATGTGACAAATTTTTTAAAAAGGGGCCAGGAATTCTATGTCTTTTGTTACATACCTGTATTTGTAGTCATGAAAGCTCATTTGCTGAGCTTTTAGTTTGGAAATCAGCATTCTGAGAATTTTTAAGAAGATGACAAAGTTAACCTCGAAGGAAAATACAAATGGTTTACTTTCAGCAAATGTTATGACACTAATCAGTTAACTACTAAATAAATGTATAATTGTTATCAAACACTTGCAAAACCTGCCCCCAAATAATTGGAATGCAGCTGGGATGAGGTTGGAATACAAGCAGGTTTTTGTCACATACTAAATATGCAAAGTTAAATAACTTAGCATTGCCTTATTCAGCCTGACATATAATTTGATACAAAATGAAATTTCGTTTTTTTAATACAGAATCCTGATTCCTCATCTTTTGAACAAAACTTTATCCCTTCTGTCACTCTATGTCTCCCTTCATATTTCTGTGTCAGGAAACTGTATCTTACTTGTCCCAAAGTTTTGAAGGACAAAAATGGCACTAATTACAAAGACCAAGGAGGGGAAAAAAAAAAATACAGGGTGTATAATTCTTACTGCAATGGAAAACAACATTGGTCCTCGGATGATCCACCAGATCCCCATGTGTTCATTTGTTCCCCAGCACCTGGTGAATAATTCAAAATATAATTATTTTCATAGGAAAAAATAAAGTTAGAATGCTCATATAACTTGTATATGTATTTCAAAAGGAACTCGGTGAAGTTCAACTTTTTAAGGTGGCCCCCAAAAGAAATGGAATAAAACCAGGAGGAGTTTCACCAACAGCTCTGAAGATCTTTCCACGTGAATGTTGATAAATATTTCCCTAGACCAAAAACTTCAGAACTATCTGGCTAACTCAGTCTTTGAACCCACAAAACATGACACCAAACCCTCATAATGCAATTAATCCTATTTAAATTATCTGTGTGAAACTGGAGACTGGAAATGAGTAAACTGGGAATTGTGACCGTGCTTCTTGATCTGCTAAAAAATAAGCATTCTGTTTCCTTGAAGGTGTGTCTTTTTCTCCTCTTTAACCTTCTGATTTGTCCTATTTCTTCTTGCTAATTATCCCGAGTTTCTGTAGGATCTTGGCTTGTCATTTGCAATTTATATGACATCTGACTCTGTAATTATGGTTTGCATGTTGCTTATTATCCGTGTTGGCATTGCAAATAAAATTCTCTAGAAACCACAGAAAATAAGAGGAGAACAAAAGATTCCATACAAAACCCACAGAGTTGATGTGATGTCACCAACAGCATCACTGCAGACCAGAAGCTGGTGCTTGTCAGTGCCTGTTACTGTCACTGATGCCCTCACCAAATCTCAGGGACTACCAGGTTTTGTCCTCAGCCTCCATTAAAATTTACTTTTTTTCTTTAAAAGTGTCAGTGAATACAAATTGAACTCCAAATGTCTCCGGGGAAAGCACTGGTCTCCTGTGCTTACTGACAGGATGCTCTCCATGAGGATGTTGGTGCACACAATTTGCTTCATGTAAATGGATGAACATTTCAGGAACAGTGAAAGTTCATTCTACTCCTCGCTAAATGCATAAACAAATCTGAGAATTCCTAGAAGTTCTTTAATGTAAAAGTACTAAAGGGAACCTTGAAATTGTAACAAGTATCAATAGGTGCTGTATAATCTGATAATTTGCTGGTCACTTCTTGTGTCAAGTACTGCCAAGGGCTTTCAGCCAAGCAAACAGAAAATCAGGATTCCAAAGAACATTTTACTTAATAACTTACCCGGTGTTCTCCAGTTTGGATCTGCTTATTCCCCAAGGGCCCACAAAGAGGATTGGAACAACTGAAAAGAAAAGAAGAGTTTATTCCAGACAAGCTTGTAGAAGTGTGTGGTGCAAAGATTTGTGCTTTTCTATTTAGAACAGTACAAAAAATCAACTTCATCCTGGCTGTCCCCATTTGGTTCAAATACAAAATGGTTTGTTTTGGTGTAGTGGAATCTTGCATTTTCAGACTGGTGAATACATTCACACATACACACCCTGCTGATGTGCTGAAATCAACATTTCTGACCCTGAGAATCCAAATTGCCACAGGAGGCCTCACAGATGACCTCAGGCTCTGTTGAGCTTTAAATGGGTTTTCAGTGAAGGTGTGGAATGCTGCCTGGTTAGTTAAAACAGCTGACAAAGGATTGCTCTCCTGAGCCCCTTCAAGAGAATCCCAATCCCTTTATTGCCCCCAACCCTTCCTGGAGGTCATAAACTGCAGGTTGAAAAAAACCCCTAAAGTACAGAGTTACTGCAATGTTCCAATGGACTACAAGAGTGAAAGCACAAGTCTCAAATCATCAGCTAAAAGCAGTGTTCCACTGAATTCCCAGCCCAATAACACACAGGGGATTTTCTGGTGGATGTGGCAGAAATTAAAGCAGGTGTGGGTCCCTGGACCAGAACGGGGACAGTTCAGGGTTCTGGGACACTGACTGAGGTCATGGAGAAAACTGGAGTGTGGCAGCACAGAGAAAGGGCCAGAAATAAAAAACTCTCCAAGAAAACAGATTTCTGAGCAGGTAAAACGGGGAAGGGGATGAGAGGGGTCTCGTTTGGGTGGGAGATGGTATTGGTGCAAAAAGAGATTCTGCAGGAACAACTGGGGCATGGAGCAGCTGGGAACAGACCTGCAGATCCAGGGGGACACGAGGTGGCCTCTGAGGAAAGGTGACACCCGGGGTGATGAGGGGATGTCACCAAATGCAGCCCCCGGGCAGCAGCTGAGGAAATGTCAGTGTGAGCCCTGGGTGAGCCCTGCTGCCTCAGCAGCAGTGGAACTACACAGGTCTGTAAGATGTGTCCCATCTCAGCAGGGATTGTAATAAACATAAATAAAAAATAAAGCTGATTTGTGGGGACAGCCTTTAGAAAATTGGTGAATGTGGTGAGACTAATGGACGAGGACCAACAGTCAAAGGATTATTATTATTATTATTATTATTATTATTATTATTATTATTATTATTATTATTATTATTATTAATACTCTTCTGCTGGGAAACAAATTCCCTAACAAACTTGTCCATTGCTGTTTGAACAAGGAATGAAATAACTGATCCCCCTTCCAACAAGCTGGTGATCAAAGCAACAGAGGGATTTAGAGATGATGAATGAATGGAACAACACTAAAAAAACATGGAAGGAAGTGGTCTTGGTGCATCAGCAACTTGTGTGCTCATACAGCCAAGGGCCCTTTAAAGAGGAAAGTGAGAAGGAACAGAGAAATCTGGCATGGATAGTGAGAAAAATCCCCAAAAATAATTACCTTTAAATTGTCTTTTTCATGGATAAGATAATGCCTGAAATGTAAGACCTGGCTCAAGGAGTGTTTCAGATTATCTCCTAACTTAAAGCACACCTTACAACTTTCAGGTGAGCTGGGAAGGGGAGCATTTAAATGAAAATTTCTAATGATTTGGCACTTTTGCTATAGAGGTGCTGTATTACAAAGGGAGGAAATGAAGTTGCTGGTATACCATAATATTCAGTGACGACAATATACAGCCCAATGAAAGGAAATTTCTTCTTGTTCTGCCCACCAGACATCTGTTTTCTTACTAAACAATTCCCTGATTTCCTGTATCTGCAGCTCAAGCTGAACTGCAGCCAAAGTACCACTGCTGACATATCTCCATTTACAATTGCTGGCTTCAAAACTAACAAATAAAACAAAACTTTTTTTTTTTTTTTCTCCTTCTTTACAAAATATCTTCCACTGACTCAGCAAAGCACCACATAATGAGTGCTTGGAAACAGTTCTGGACTTACCCCATCCTATCACAATGTATGTCTGCAGCAGTCGTCTTTCAGAGAGCACCACAGTTATCAATAATGTGTGCAGATAAATTCCTTCTACCAATAGCCAGAAATAATTTGCCCCGACAAAGTAATGCATGAAAAACTGGGCAGTCCTGCAAATGATTACAATCTGTAGGAATGAGAGACCAGGAGTCATTGTAAATATCAATGTCATGATCTGCATGGGAGAGTTTTTACTGATGAATAGTCATCATTAACATCTTGCAGATAATTTTCCTTGTTAACATGGGCAAGCTCTATTCCTACAACAACATACAAGAATAATTTATTCACAGTAGTTATGAGATGTAAATAAGTGCCAAACAAACACAGAGATTTCTTTCTGAAGGCTACAAGGTGTGAGTTGTTTTGCTTAAGTGACTGCTTCTAAATATTACAATGAATTAATATGTTCTTTCTATTCATTTAAAATAAATCTCTTATCTCAAATCAAGATTTCATCTTAATTACCCCAATTTTTATCAACAAAATTTCAGCATCCAAAGCTCAACTTACAAACACCTCACCCCTTGATGCTGTAGGGCAAACTTCCAAAACTGTAACTGTTATAACCACTAGAAGCACACATTTACTATTAGCTATGAACTAACACATTACCTCTGGGCTGAGGTATAATATCCATCCAGTTTCATCATTTGGTCTTTTGGAGTAAATGTTGTAGTACACAGAGTCTTTGATAAGAACTGCTGCAGCACGCAAGATAAAGGATGCAAATAAATTCATATGAATGTAGTTCCTTGTGCAGTGAAGTTTTCTGTGGGATTAAAAAATAACATATGAATCCTCTGGAATATATCTGATTTGCAGAAATAAAATTTCTAAAAGCCAATAAAAATCCAGCAAAACAATCGTTGTATTCATATTGTTGCCATCAAGGTTTTCTGCTTAGAAATTGCAATTGTATTGCTCCTTAGGAAAATACAAGTTATTTACATGGAATCAACAGAATGGTTTGGGTTGGAAAGGATCTTAAGTCTCATCTCATGCTCTCCCCCCTGCCATGGGCAAGGACACTTTCTAGGAGATCAGGCTGCTCCAAGGCCCATCCAACTTTGCCTTAAAATCTTCCAGGAATGGGGCAAGTGACTTCTGCCAGGGCCTCACAGGGAAGAATTTCTACCTAATATCTAATCCAAATCTACCATCTTCATCTGAAAGCCATTCCCCCTTGTCCTTTCACTCCATGCCCTTGTCCAAAGCTCATCCCCAGCTTTTTTTGTAGCCCCTTCAGGTACTGGAAGGTAAGTAAATAATAACTTCAATTTCATAAAAAAAAAGAATATGAGTACAGGGCTCTGTACGTTTAAAATGCAAGTAAATTTGTACTAACCTGAGTAAAGAAAGTATAAGCAGAGCTAATACCAGTGAGATGAGGGAAAAGTAATATCCTATAGTGTATAACAGCTGTAATGTGGTGAGTAGTTTATGTTCTTCTTCCTGGGAACAAAGAAGAAAGAAATGTTATATGGGCAGGGGACAGAGCAGAAACACAGCTCAGAAACTTTGGGGATCACCTGCTTTGAGTTTCTGCAAGTTTAGAAATTAATGTACTTACTGCATAGAAAGCTTAGTAAAAATGTAGTAATACAAATAGATACTAAACTAATAATGTTTCATAACTAATCAGTAAGGCAGTGTTACTTGATAAAGTAAGAAACAGCACTTGGGCAGCATTAAAAAATAAAAATAGTGGTAATTATGCTTACCTAAGAGACCTAATTCTGACACCTGCTAAGCTGAACTCAATGGCAAAAGAAGTTTGGCTGACAGAGTCCAGCCCCTGGCCTGATGCAATATGAGAAATACAGGAGGGATGGCATTAGCTTGGGGTGAATCCTCCAGTCTCTGACCAGCTAACTCTGAAATAACCAGTTAACACCTCATGAAATGCTGAGAGGCTCAGAAGGGAAGTTGTCTGACTTGCACAGAATAATGAGATTTGGGGAGATGCTGGGATGTTCACTTGCTTGACAAGTTGTGGTGGTTTTTTTATTTTATTAGGAGAAAATCAGCACATGTGAACATTGGACTCTGAACAGAAAATAATTTGTGGCATCTAAAGCAGGAATCCCCTTCTTTAATATTTTCTCTTCTGCTTCTTATAAATAAAATAACAGCTTTCCATTTGGTAATTTAAGTGAAATCTGAAGATCCTTTGCAGGTATTAAATGGAAATGTTTTGTCACTTACTCAAGAAAGAATTAAGAAGATTAAAGTTTTCAACTGTAATATAAAACATACTTACATTTTTTTGGAAATGATTTTTCTCAGAACATTCTGAACTATCCCGCCAAATGTCTGTGGAATTTTCCTTTGTTTGCCAAATCCCTTCATCCAAGCAGACTCTGTATACATGTCCTACACTTCCTGAAAGTAAACAGAGTTTTAGTCTGAAAGGTCAAAATAGAGATTTCATTTTTCATACACGTTTTAAAGACTTCTGCCTCACACCTCCACTATAGACTCTACACCACTTATATTAAAAAGAAAGAATAAAACCCACTTTGTCTTTGTCAATATATTTTTTATATTTACATAGGACAAAGTAGGAATGTAATCCAGCAGAAATAAATTATAAATTCCCAGAATGTACCTGTTTTTTACAAGAAAACCCACACAGTACATCTGAAAGAGAAGCCTACATCTCACTTTATTAATTTTTCCTCATTAAACTCGTGAACAGGTAATTCACAGGCCAGGATTTGATTAAATGCTCTTCCTCTGTAACACCTGATGCTGCAGGCTGGTGTTTCATTTCTGTGCTCTGGGGCCCCTCCAGCAGCTGGGCTGAACTGATGAAGTTTTCTTGGTTTTCACTGCATTGCCCCAGTTTATATTAATTAGGAACTTGCCCATAGCATCAGAGGAATGGTGTGGGGATCCTGGTTGATGTTTGTTTGATGCCATCCTCAACAGCTGCCATCAGTTTATTTCTGATCAGGCCTGAGCTCTTCCAATCATTTTTTAATTGGAAGTGTTTAAGGGTGGTAGCAAGACCCAGAATATCTCAGCACATACCTGAGCAATGTGTTTTGCTCAGCTCAGAGCTGAGGGAATGGCTTTGGGATCACAATTTGTTGTGATGGAGCAGGAGCTCTGGATGAATACTAGATGCTGGAAAAAACCTTAAACCATTCATAAAATATGATCATTAATCTTGCTTTTGTAGAAATTCAGACATAAAAAAAGAGTCTCCATTCCATGGAGACATGATGCTTTTGTTTAGTATGAAGAGCTGGGTTTGTTCTAAATGGTTGGCAGAATCAGTTTGGGAGATTAGATAGAAAGTTGGTGTCTTAATGCTTATTAGCATAAAAAAAGGATAAATTATATTAAAGAACAAACCATGTGTGGCTTGGGCTGGAGAAAGCTGGGATAAGCAGCTGGTAGAAGTCTCCCATAAATTAAAGGACTGGGGAAGAATTGGCCTCTCCAAGCTCAGAGAGGTGTTGAGCAGGATTCAGAAATGCTGCTCTGTGCTGTTAGCAGTGCCCTTCCATTCCTTTATGGGAATCTTGTTTGGGCCTCAACACTTGTGCTCCTGAAGGTGTTTTCCCCTTCCTGAGAGCCCCCCTGCTGCATTCCCTGCAGGAAAAGGCTGCTTAAGGTTGGCTTGTTCCCCACACCACTGGAGGTGCTGGGAACACCCCTGGGTTTGGCTCTTCCAGTTTTGTGGAATCCTGTCTGGGATCAGTGGGGACCCCAGAAGTTGAAGGTCAGAAGTTGAACCCTGAATTTATTCCTGTGATAAAGCCCTGGCAGTGTGGGTACATGACCCTGTGAATGTTCACAGCAGACAGAGCTGTGGCAAGCACAGATGGAGACAAAGAGAAAATAAACATCAAAAATGATTTTGTGCCTCAGTTCAGCAGTGGAAGAAAGAGGGGAGACCTTTTCTCCCTCATCCACTTCAGAGGACAAGACAGACAGGCACCACCTGTGCTTTAGCTGAATTCCTGGCACAAACTCCAGGACAAGTTACCACTTTCACATTACCATTTTCCAGCCATGGCAAATACGAAGGACAAGGAACAGAGACATTTCCTGGGGGTGAGTAAGGCCAGCAAACAAATTGATCAAATGTCCCATTGCAATGTACTCCTGGGGAGAGAAGAAAATAAAAGTTTTACAAAAAGTTGTCCAGACAATGGACAGTCATGGAAACCATTTTGTATTGCTCCAGGTAACCTGCAAACTACTCCAGAGAAACAAGATATTGTAGATAAACATTTTATATTCACTGTGCAATGCAGAAACAGGAGCTGCCCTTCTTCCCTGAGACCATGCATCACCTGCAGGCTTTGCACTCCTCTATGAGATCAGTTCATTGCTTAAAATCACAAGGAAGAGAGGTCAGACCTCGCCAGGGTCTGCAGATTCCTTTAGAGGGACAGCAGAGGGACAGCTCTGAGCTCTGCTGTGTGACAGTGACAGGACCCCTGGCATGGCTGGAGCTGTGCCAGGGCAGCTTTGGGTTGGATATCAGGAAAGGTTCTGCCCCAGAGGGTGCTGGCCCTGCCCAGGCTCCCCAGGGAATGGGCACAGCCCCGAGGCTGCCAGAGCTCCAGGAGAGCTTGGACAGCGCTGCCAGGCATGCCCAGAGTGGGATTTTGGGGGGTCTGTGCAGGGACAGGGGCTGGGCTGGATGATGCCTGTGGGCTCCTTCCAGCTCAGGGTACTCTGTGATTTCATGGTTGTACAATCCTGAGGCCCCTGTGGTCCAAATGTAACAGTGAGATTCCAGGCATGTTATCCTTCACTGGTTTGGTACATGCAGCAGACTGGGAATGGACGATATTCCACCTTTCCCACCTTTCCTTGTGACACCAGTTGTCACCTCTGTCCGTTTCTTTCTCACAGTGACTCCTTTAAGTCTTTGGGCAATGTCTCATATTCCCAGAGTTATTACCAGAGATTATAACTCTGGTAATATCTCAGAGTAACTCAGTTTTGATCTTCACAGTTATCACATCACTCACAGGAGAGAAGGTTAAGATAAAACATTTGATAATGCAGAATTGAAATGGTGCAGGCAGGTGACAGCAACATAAAATAAAGTGCATTAATGGCTGTCTTAGTGTCTTGCTTAGTTTCTGTCTTTTTTTCAGGATAACACCAAAGTTCTTCTCTCTGAACTTTAATGCTTTTGCTCATCCTAAATCAGAAGAGAATATCCCAAATTATTTTCCATAGTGCTTAGCAATACTTTGAGAAACTTGTGTGGGAAGAAGAATACAGGGAACAAGATAGCTCTGTGCTATCTCACCAGCATCTTTTTGGGGTGTTGCTGCTAAAATACAGACACAGGATGTGCATTCTTACATATTCTGCTGCACCTTTGAGGCTAAGCATCTGTGTTTTGATCTGTGTAGATGTTAACATTTATAGCTGCATTTTTATTGTTCTTTTCTCCAATTTCTGTTTATTCAAGTGTGGACTGGGGAGGCTGCCAGAAGAAAAATACCTTTGTTTTTCAATTTCATGAAAGCTGAAGTCCTGAGGCCCTGCAGCTCTCTTGATTACCCACTACAAACCACTGCCCTCTAATATCTTACTGGGTCACCTGGCTGAATTCTAATTGCCACCAAAGCCATCATTCCCTGCTTTCCTGGCAAAACACAATCTTCGTTTGCATCATGCTAATGTTTTCTGCACACCAGGTGTTCACCACAGGCTATTGACTTCTAGCTGCTCTCTACTGTTCCTTTCTTTCCTTCAGCATCAGTTGTAAGCCATCCTGCAGGTGTACTGCCTGAGCTGATGTATGCTTTGCTTTTCCTGCTTTCCAGAAAATCTTCTGTCCCCTCTGCAGTCCTCATCTCTCTTCTTGCCTCCTTGACTGCAGTCACATCGTCAGTAACTTATGGAAGCTCCTTTTCCCTGGCTTTCTGTGTTTTCCCCTTCCTCATTTTCCACAAATGGCTCTGACTCCTGACCCCTCCCAGTCTGGAGTCACCAACAAATTTGGTGAGGGTGCTTTCAATGCCTGCCCATGAGTCCAAAACAGAGAGCAGAGATTCCCTTTTCACCTTTCCTTGGTGAACAGCAGCAACCTCTGTGCCAGCCACACCTTGGACTTCTCCAATCACTCAAAGCAAACCCATGAAATCAGACTCCTAGCAGAGCAGAGTTTATACATTTAGGAGTGAAAGAATGATGGATTATGAAGTCTCCTTTTGGCAAACAGCAGAAGACTCTGAGCACCCAGTCAAAGGAGGGAGGCATGAATTCAGGAGGAGACCCTGTAGGTGTGCTGCTCTTTATCTAAGCATCCAAAACCACAGAGACAGGAGAGTAAACAAAGGCCTTTAGGCTAATATTTGTGTCAGGTGAATTGTTCTACATTTAGAACTTAGGAACAGACATACAGCAAGACAATATTTGCATATTTGTCAGTGTCACTCAATAAATTTCTTCATTGCTTAATTCCTTACCATTATCTACAGACGATTCCTGCAGCATCTTCAAGCATTCCTGTTTATATTTGTTCCATCCAGTAGTGGTTTTTTCCAGCAGAGAACCTTTGGCCTGGGAGTGAAAATGCTGTACATGAGAAAAATCAGTTAGAACCTTTTAGTCCTTAATAACAAGTTTCTTTCCATTATAAGAAAGTCTGGTCTGAGCACAGAAATAGAGGAGAGGAGAGGAGAGGAGAGGAGAGGAGAGGAGAGGAGAGGAGAGGAGGATGGAGGAATGGTAGGTAAAAAAGGTCTAAAGGGCTTTCTGGTTTTAGAATACTTTTAAAGATAATCAAGCACTCCTGGTTGAGTAATACAGCAAAAAAAAAATTGAATAAAACAGTAATAAATAAGCAATGCTATTTAGCTTTCCTCTGTACTCCTACTCAGCATTTCACAGACCACTTATTTTACCAGCAGCTGCAATTGTGCCATACACATCTTTCTATCCCTCTTCCCCCCACCCTTTATTTTTAAGAAAATTTTTTGTAAATTTTAGTTTAGTTGCCCATTCACACTGTGTTGCCCTTTTTGCCTCAATAGGGCACTTTTTGCTTTCTTCTTGTGTCCATAGGTGAGAAGAGGCTTTGCCCTCTAGATTTCCCACATAATAAAATTAACAACACTGGCTGCAGAGGTCTGTAAGAGGGCCATGGCTGATAATTGCTCTTTAGGAAAGCAATGGTTAAAAACCAGAAGAATTAAATACAAAAACACTTGGTGATTTGGGTGAAGAAATGCCTTATTAGGAGCAAAGCAGTTCAGAAAGGATAATGGGAGATGCTGCTAAGAGCTCAGTGTTAGCATGAGGAATTGATCATTATTTATCCATAGAAAAGAGCCCCATCCTAGGCCCTCTGTGCAATAAAACTCCTGCTCTCCTGAAACCAGGGCTTTGAGAGGCCACAGCAGTCAAAGATTACTGCCACTAGAAGTCACCAAAAATGAAAAATTCATTACTGGGTGAAAATGTTACCTATTCTAATCTTGGAGAGCAAACAAAATATAAGTTTTCTGAACAATCTTTTTACTAAAAGATACCTTTCAGTTCTTCAGGAAAAGTCCATTTCTTTTTGTCTGGACTACACCCTTTCTTTGAAACTGCCTTTAACACACGTGGAGTTGTCCTGATGTTGACTGATCGTGGTGATGTGCCAAGGGCTGAGATTTATAACCAGAACAATATATGGCTGTGAACTTCACCTTTGTTCCTTTAAACCTATGGTTCATTTTTATTTCAATGAAGAAGATCATATTTATTTACTTTCAAAACAAGAACAGTGTTCTGATGAGCGAGCTCTTATGCAGGATCACTATTTCATGCATGTTTTTGCTGTGTAAAATGTTGCCTGCTCAATACTCTGCTTTTAGTCTCTCAACTAATTTTCAGACATCCCACTTTAAGCTTGAGGGAGTAGAAGGACCATAATCATTCTTCCGTGGATGGGCTTGCAAGATAAGGAGAGAATATTTACAGCAGCCATGAGAAAGGAATGCATGTTTCCAAATTAAACAAGCATCTTGACATTTCCCTCATGTGGGCCTCAAAACTCTGGGAGCCAGGGGAGATTCTTCAGGCACCCGGGGGTCAGTGAACCTCACTTGAAGAGGGAGAGACTTGGAGATGACGCATTTGTAGCCAGGACTGCTGGGTGGAAGGGAGAACACTCCAGTTTCTGATAAATAAACGTGTAAACTGGTGCCTGGAGAGCTCCCTGGAGCAGAGGCTGGGCAGTGCTGAAGGAATAAAGCAGGGATTTATTCCAAGCCCTTCCAAGGATTCACCTTGGGCACTGCAAGAGCCCGGCCGTGGCTCCAGCCAAGATGGAGCCAAGATGGATCCGAGTCACGAGTTCTCACACTTGGATCACTTTGGCTCCATTTCCATCTTGGCCTTCATTGTCCAATTGCAGCTCCAGCTTCTGCAGTGCCATCCTCCCACATTCTCTCCTCCAGTCGCTGCTCTTTGCACTTTTTGGGGCTGAAGCTGCAGCGCTGTCCTTGGTTGTGGGGCTGGCAAAGGATTGTTTTGTGTGCCTGAGCTGGGAGGAGAACTTGCTGACACTTTGGATGGAGTTCAGAGTCACACACCAATGCAGTGCAGAGTCTGGAAATAGGAAAGCTCAAACTTAAGGCATCAAAACAGCCAAGGAAATCCAAAGGAAACCTCGCAGCTGCTTTGGTTCCATTCCTGGAGATGAGGTTGATACACACTCGTGCAGAAATTCACTCAACAAGAGTGAGGAGCTAAATGACAGTTCCACCTCACTTCCTGATGGAATTGTCCATCTCCTCAAATGTGCAGGCACGGTCACATAGCCAATATCTGGTCAATATTGATGTGAATACTGATGGGATACATTTGTTTTGGTCACATAGTCAATATCTGATCACTATTGATGTGAATACTTGTGAGATAAAATTGTCTGCTGTTACAAAACTTTCTGATGAAAATCGAGTCAACACAGACTCAGAGCCTCAGCTGACATAAAAAAAAAGTTAAGAGCTGTCAGCTGACCTGAAAAATTAATTTTAAGTATAGTTAGCAGGACATATTTAAAATTATCAAAATGAAACATTTCACAGAGTAACTGTGGCTGCCCCAAGTGTCCTTAATGGTTGATCTAAAAGACTAAGAAACCCTTTATGTATTCAAAAAAATATTAAACAGATATTCAACAGGAAACCATGATGGTTTGAATGGCAGCAGCTTGTGAATTGATCATCAGATATTTACAGAGGGACTGCCAACAAAAAGAGGCTGAAAAAAGCAATCTTGCTGTTTGTACATGACTGTTCTGTGTGCAGGGCCTCCACCCTGGGGAAAGAACATCAATGGAGAGAAAGGCTGAAGAATGCTGGCAGTGCCTGGGAATGAGCAAAATCAGCTTTCATTCCCTTCTTGGTGTGAAAGGGTTTGATGCAGGTGCCCCAGGGAGAAGATTTCAGTCTTTTCTGCAGTGGGGCGTCCTGTTAAGGCTTTTCTGTATGAGCTGCATTTTTAGAGAGTTATTTACTGTCCTGTGAGAGTCACAGACTGTCCCAGGTTGGAATGGATAAACAAGGATCACCCAGCCCAGCTCCTGGCCCTGCACAGACACCCAACACCCCCCACCCTGTCCCTGAGAGCTTTGTCCAAGCTCTCCTGGAGCCCTGGCAGCCTCAGGCTGAGCCCATTGCCTGGGGAGCCTGGGCAGTGCCAGCACCCTCTGGGTGACAAACCCTTCCTGATATCCAGCCCTGACCCCGGCTGATGCCATTCCCCCTGGGACTGGCTCACAGCAATGAGGATTTTGCAGGATACCCCTGAGCTGCCACTGCAGGGCAAACCGAGACTGGGAATAAGCACAAGCCTTTAGAGGGAAGGGGGGATGAAGGAGGTGAGACACCTCGATGTTCTGTGCGTGTTTAAGTGGAAAGGAGTCAACAAGAAGGCAGAGGCAGGCTGGCCCTGTGTCCTGACATCCGTGCTTCCTCAGGAGCAGGGTGCTCAGCTGGGGCAGCATGAGGAGCACAGAAATCACTGCTGCAAATGAGGAGGCTTCTCCTGCTTTTGTCAGCTGGGAGAAAGCCAAGTCACAGAACAGCAGAATTACACAAAGGTTTGGGTTGGAAGGGACCTTAAAGACAGGAAAGATCCTGTTCCAGCCCCCTCCATGGCAGGGACACCTCCCACTGTCCCAGGCTGCTCCCAGCCCCATCCAGCCTGGCCCTGGGCACTGCCAGGGATGGGCTGTGGGACAGGTGGTGACTGCAAATCCCAGGAAAGTTCCATCATGAGCTGAGTTTCAGGTTCCAGTGCAAGTTCCATGGCAGAAACACAAACTTCCAGGGAAATTTCCCATGATCTCAGCCAGTGGAAACACGCAGTTTTTGATCTGTTTGTGTTTCAGTTGCCATTTGGCCACTGCTTTTAAACAGGACTTGTGACTTGGGAAAATTCAGCTCCAGTGTCCAAGACAGAAACTCAGAAGGTCCAGGATCTTTTGCCCTACACTGGATATAATTTCAGGTTGTCTGATTTTTATTTTTTTTTTGGTAAAAAAGGAACTGCCTCAGCCCGCCAGCCTGGCCCCTGCTCCTGCTGAAATTCACCCATGAGGAAATTCAATCAAAATTCCCTGGAAATGTCTGGCCATTTATTGAGATTGCACCAAGAAGACATCACTCTTGAGAAATATGTTGGATTCAGGAAAAAATGCTGCCTGAAGCTTTCATTTAGGAAATGGATTCTATTTGGTTGCAGACTGGTTTAAATTTAAGTTTTTCATAACTGATCAAAGAACAGTCAGAATTTCACCCTTTTAATTTTTTTATAGTAAATTAGCAGTGAAATGAAATATTTCTGTTTATTCAGACTGCTCTTATGGACAGAAAATAGTCCCTTCAATTTAGTCATAAACTAAAAATAAAAGCTGAAAAATATTTATTCATTCCTTCAGCCATGATCTGGGTTTAGTCTGATGGATATTTTTCCTATCTATAGAGGTTTTTGCTAGAAAATACAGATATAGTGATTTATGGCTGTTATTCCTTGCAATGTTTCTTTCTTATATAAAGAATATAAAGAAATACAGCACATATTTCTTTAAACAAGTTGCAAGAGCCACTATGACAAATTAATTCACTGTGATTAGTCTAGCAAGGTTCTGAACTCACAGAAGTATTTGGGAGATTTTCTGTTAGCACTGATGGAATTAATGCTTTGGCCAAGGTGTCTCAGAAATCTGAGACTTGTTTCAGTTCTATAAACAGAAGTTCTAAGCAGAGAAGCTCTAGATTTGAATTATACTAAAAGTGTTAGGAATATTTTTTTAAAAAAAGAATTTGTTCCCTGGTAATTTTTTCATTATAAAAATGTTAGAAACACAGATATGGGCTCTACAGCACATAGAGCTGCAAAGCCACTTCCTTAGAAACCCAAGAAAATGAAGATTGAGTGGCTAAAAATACCTTTATAATTTCAGTTTATTGTCCTGATGCCCATACACTTCATAGAAATGTACCCTAAATATATATGTGAATTTTATTCGGTTAAATTGAAATTTTCCAAATACCAGTAATGGTTTTAAAAAATTATTCAAATCAAGATTTATATTAATAAATGAATAAGAATCACTAAAAACCTATGTGAAAATTTCCTTTAAGTGAATTACACTGAGATATTTTCTCATTAAATACCAAAAGCCCTTCCACATATAAGGTAAGTAAGAAGTAAGCATTTAGAATTTTGGAAAGATTTAGGGAAAAAAGTAACAATAAAATGGTTTAATGGATCTCTCCAAGAAATAAAGGCAGAAATCTCATACAGATTTATTTGCTTTCTGTATGAAGGTGAGATGCAGAATGACTTTACAGATTTCACAAATTGGAAATTCAGTGCTCACAAGTCAGAGGCTAAAAAGTAGTGCCAGAAACAAATCAAAGCTGGGTTTAGAACAGAGGAAAAACGGTGGAAAATAAACATGATTCATAATAGTATTTTTATCTGGTAGGAAAACTGAAAAACAAATATAATTCAATACTGATCAATACTGGTATGAAAAGTGATTGTGTAAACATAATTTATTCGCTGTATGAATGAGGATTAATAGAATAAAATTGTAATAAATGACTGAGTCAGAGAGACTTCTAATATAAAACCTTACAGTTTTGCAGCGTTGTTTCTCATGACTAATTAGTAATAAAAAGAAATTGTTATGTCAGAAGGATTTTTGGTACAACCATTGCTGCGTGCTAGGAATTCTCTGTTGTGCTGTCCATTATTAAGGATTGAATTGGCTTACCTGTTTCACAAGGAACAATATCATGAGGGAGCTGGCAGAGGTTGGAGGTATCCTGGACCAGAGTCCCATGCTGGAATAGAGAGCAAAAAGTGTCACCATGCCCATCCAAATAAATTTGTTCCCAATATGCTGCTATTTCACTCTATAGATCAATTATATTTAAAAAAGGGAGGGGAAAAGAAAAATAATTTAAAAAAGAAGTAAAAATGTCTTCTTTTATGAATGCCACTGTTCCATGAATCTTCTTTCCAAGTAAGTGAGGAAGTGTCCTGAAGTGTTTAGCCTTGCTAGACTCCAACTACGTTTTGGTTTTTCTGATTAAAGGAAGAGAGAGCTTAGTCTAAACTTCACAGCCACTCTGCTTACTGTAGCATGTCCATTAGCCAATAAGAAGTCAGAAAACTATTAAAACATTAAAGGGCTGATCCTGTTCCTTGAAGCTCCACAGGAATTTTGCCAGTGATTTTTCCAGAATGCAATCCAGCTCCACAAGAACACACACACATATATATATATATATATATATATATATATTTATGCACACCTCATGGAACCAATAAAGGACACCTTAGAAAAGCTTTGTGTAGGAAGCAGACATCTCTGGCTGTCTGTCAGAAAGCAGCTCAGGAAAAGTCGATTTTACATATTTTTTATCACATTTTGTCAAATGTGCACAGCGCAGGATCAGGGAGAATCTAAAAGTGAAAAAAGTTATGTTGCCAGCAGTTAAGTTTTATTACAATTCTTGTGATGTTCAGTGTTTTCTTCAAAGCCTCACCATCCTGGCTGTCTTGGTGTCACCTGCAAATATTTGGTTTACAAAACTTTATTCCAGCAAAAATCACTGCATGTAACACTTTGCTTGAAGGGAACTCCAGCAAATCGATTTACTCCTCCCTTACTTTCTGTCTTTTTTCACAGTTTAGACAGAACTAACCAATAAATACTCGTGCAGTCCATTTCTCCTGTTAAACAGAGCATCCCTGCATGAAAAATTGATTTGGAAATTGTGTTGCCAGCATTGCTAGGGCATGAACAAAAAACTGTGAAACATCTCAGACTGCAGTTGTCATCCAGAAGGTATCAGTGGTTTCACAGGCCTCAAAATATATTTAATTACAGCCATATGCAGATTACTCACAGATAAGTGTTTAATCCTCAGAAGGATTTCCCTCCCTTCCTCCTGCTCTCACACTTGCTCCCACCCCTGTTCTCACAAGTGCTGCACCCTTGCAAAAATGCACAAGATGAGACAAAGAAAATGAGAGAAAGATGTCGAAAAAATAACTCCTGGCTCGAGCTACGTCTGGTTTTTGGGTTGTGAGATTTGCTCTGCCTTTGTAGACCAGAGCTGGTTTTGCACTCTGCTGCTGGCCAGCTCTGAAAGCTGAGCTCTTCACAGCCACCTAAAGCAGGCATTTATTCTGTTATCCTTGACTTTCATCATGGGACTCATCTGCTTCCCCAGCTCTGACATCTTTGGGTAGAGAGTTGCCTTGAAAATCCAAATAATTTTCATTAGAAGATACATATGTGACTTCAGTGTCTGTCCTGTGGAACCATTCTCCCCCAGGGAACGTCTGGACTTTACAGTTACAAAATGAAGCAGTGGATCACTAACACCCCAGCTCCTTTTGGTTATTTTCATAACTTTCTTGCATCACCAAACAGGCAGAAAAAACAGTTGGTGGGAAATGTTTCCTCGATGAAGGAAAAAGAAATGCTATTTCACAGAGTGAGAAGATGCACATATAAAATAAGGATAATTCAGCTTTTTTTTTAATATTTCACCTCACTCGGGCAAAACTTGTGTTATGTGTTCATGGAGGGAAACTAGAGAGTGCTCAGGATACCATCGAGAGCAAAGTTAGGTAATTTATCACTTTTATTTGTCACTGGTGGAACTCTGAACATAGGCAGTCACCTTTCTAGTGCTGCATGCTGTGAAATGCTGTAGCTGACCAACCAGTTTTAGCTCCTTAGGAGTTTTTTTACAGTCAGAGTCACACCTCTATTCAATTTAAACAGTGTTCAGTGTTACAGAAGCATTTGGAATGGTGAAATTTTGTTTATTCCTTAGCTAAGAGATGGATTCCATCAGTCTGACTCCCCCTCTGATCAAGGTAAATAGGCATTCTTTGTTTGTATAAATAAAACTTTAGTGATTGCACACTGGGGCACTTCCAATGCTTCTGTGTTCTGTGTATGGGGCAAACATCATTTCTTGTCACACTCCCTCATATTTCTTTCACAATACATTGCTGCCAAGCAACACTGTCCTTTATTCTTAATCTCCCCTGCCACATGATTCCTGGTCATGCCCAGATCTCTGCTCCCTGTCTTAAACTCCTAAGCTAGCACAGTTTTCTGAGAGGGAAGAGGAACGGGATGGTGAATGCAGGCAGGTGTTTTATCAGGCAGAGACATGCATGAATTTACCAGGGGGAGTTTGTAGAATAATTGCTGGCAGCTCTGGAGGATGCCAGTCCCGGAGGCAGACGGGAGGCACAGAGCCTCAGCAGCATTTTCCCTGAGCTTCCTCTCTTTAGTCTTCTCCATCACAGCATTCAGCAGCAGTTACTGGTGCGAAGGCACCAGGAAAGTGGCCAAACCTTTCTGCACAGGAGACAGCAAAGGGGATCTCTGCATCCGCTTCAACAGCCCCGACGGCAACAGCAGCCAGGCTGTGCAGTACATCTGGGAGACTGGGGACGACAAGTTCGTGGAGAAGAAGTTCCATGCTGGCATCTGGTATTCCTGTGAGGAAATGATAAATGAGGATGGTGAGTAAACCCATGGCAATTTGTTTAATAAAGTAATCACGGTTCTCCCGATTTGGTGTGCCCTTCCCCTGTGCTTCTCTATCGGCGAGGTATTTCATGGGGTTTGCATCCTTCAAAAGTTGCTCTTCTCTGGTAAAGGGCACCTTAGGGGGTGATGTCTAGTCAATTCCTAAAAAATTCCTAATAAATTCTGCAAAGAATATTAGCGTGACAGGTCAGGTTTTGATTTAGCTGATTTGATTTTAGGTTGTGGTACAGATGAATATTATTTGGTTTTTATTCTACTCACCATAACTGCAAGTTAAATTACTTTAACAGGAAAGAGTTTCATTTTTCCAGTGTTTTTATTCTGTTAGTCAAAAATGAACATACTTGTTTGAAATTATTCTTTCTGATCCCCTATGGCAACATAAAAAACTCACACTGTTTTTTGGGGTTTTTTTTAATCATTTGCACTAATATATCTGTGGGATCTAAATTAGTTCCTGAGTTTCCTCTTGAGCACAAGTGTTTCTACTTTCTTACTGTGATCTCACCTTGCATAAATCAAAGCAGAAGAGGATTATTTTCATCCTTCTAAAACATTATACAGAGACTTATTAGCCATAAGTGGTGGCATTTAATTGGGTCTCACCCCGTATATGTAAATATTATTAAAATGAAATTAGCTTGCCATTACAGAAACTTTCTAGTTAATTTTGGATTTTTGTATAAGGGAATTGCTGGTTCAAGAATTCAAGCATTTATTGTAAAACCAGATCAACATTAAGTTTCTCCCTTTATTGCCCTGATCAGTTTACAAGTAACAGCTAGAACAGAACTTCAGAGAAATCAAAGCAGCTGTCACCTGTGCTATAAATCACAAATATTTTCAGTCACCTGTCCTGAAGGTCCAGTTCTACCAGAAGTTCTTGTAAGTTATGCAGTTTTAAGGGATAAATGGCAAAGAACAGAGCAAACCCCGTGTCCAAAAGACAGCTTTTATCCAAGCTATGGGTACCAGGGTTGTGTAATTTGAGCATCTGCTGTGGAAGTTCGTGTGTGGAAGCTCATGTTTTCTGACTTGGTGCAGTTAAGAGCTGGAAAAAAACACCCAGCATGTTCAGATCAGAGCAGAATTAATTCCAAGAGCTTTGTTCACAGCATCTGTGTGGGGGCCAGGAGGTCATATGGGTTTGAAAAATCAAAGCTTACAGGAAGAAATTGGAATGAAGCTTAGAGGGAATTTGTGTGAGCAGCAGCCTTGGTGCTGTAAGGAGAGCAGCTCTGCCCTAACGGGAGGATTGCTTCCAGCCTGCCAGTTCTGCAAAGGAATTTCCCTCTCCTGGCTTTCACAGCCTTTCTCCAAGTCTTCCAGGCTCTGGTTCTACACTGAAATAATCTGTGAGGACTCTCTAGTGAAGCCCCAGGAGAAGGTTGATGTACCAGGGTCTCTGTGTCCATTAAAAACTGCTTCACCCATCATCTCACTTTCTGCTTATATGGTAGATTTTGCACTTTATTCTTTCTATTAATCTATTTCTTTAGACCCTTACAGAATACAAAATAATCCTGAATTTGATTTAATTTATTTTTTTAGGTGAGAAGTGTAGAAGCTTTATCAGTCTGACTCCAGCTTCTGATCGAGGTAGATATGCATATTTTTTGTCCATAGTCAAAACTTTCCTGATCACACTTACCAATATAAGTATTCCGCACTAAATTAAATTAATTAATTTCAAAAATGCTTGCTTTAATCCCAAAGAGGTTTTTTGTCCTTTATTTACTTTTCCAACTTCAAAATGAAAGTCATATGATTTACAATATCAAACTCTCTGAAGACACACTGCTTGAACATGAATGGCTTTTGAAATTCAAATATGGATACTGGAAGTCAAAATTTGTATACATTTGTATATTTTTGTCCTCTCTCTCCTCATAGCTCCATATTTTCAGCCAGGAATTCAGTGGCAGTGTGTGAACATCCACCCAGGAGGTTTGTGTGCTGGGGGGATGGAGGGAGATGTGCTGAGTCCCAAAGCAGCCTTGGTGCAATCTCAATCCCCTCGCTGTGCTTTGCCCACAGCTGTGAGGAGAAATTTCCATCCTCTTCTCCCACAGAAGGTCTCACATCCTTGTGAAACATTCCTGCAGATTCCTGTGTGCTTTCCTCTTGCCTGATCCCCAGTATGAAAACATCAGTCCATCACTGATCTGATTGCACCAACCACTTCACCAGTGGCTGATCCAGAAAAAAACCCAAAACTCATTCTTCCCAGCATACTGGGACTGGAATATTTTCCTGGATATGCAAGTTCAGACCCTTGGAGAAAGAGAAATACTCAGTCTGAAGGCCAAAGACTTCCTTCTCCCTGCTGCAGCTTCTCACAGTGCCTTAACAGCATAAAAGAATTTTGTAGCATGAGAAAAAAGTATAAATGAGATGTGGGTGTAGTCACACAGAAAGGAGGGGTGTTTTCTGGGCCCTGCCTGGAGAGTTCCTCACAAGGAAAACTGCTGCTGAAACCAACTGAGCAGCACCAGCCAAT